GAGAGAGAGAGAGAGAGAGAGAGAGAGAGAGAGAGAGAGAGAGAGAGAGAGAGAGAGAGAGAGAGAGAGAGAGAGAGAGAGAAACGGAGGGAGGGAGAAGGTATTTCAGTGCGTTTTCCCTGTTTCAATAAACATCTTTGACTGATTTTCCTTTCCAGCAACTGTTTTTCAGACAACTTCGCTCCCAAATGCATGCTGTGGACCGAACCTTTTTTTTTTTTTTTTTGGGCGGGGGGAGAGAGAGAGAGAGAGAGAGAGAGAGAGAGAGAGAGGCTATTTGGTTGGTTTGTTAGATTTCGGATCATTTTGGTGTGCAACTTCTCGGAGGTTTTGGGGCTTATGAAGCTGGGGGGGTTATGGGATTTCAAAAGGTCAGGGTTTAGAGCGTTTTCAAGCGCATCATACCCCAGCGAGTCAGGTGACCTGACGCTCAACTTCACTCCTGAGTCACTAAGACTTCCCAGTCTTGTCGCTGAGAGTGCACTTGGCATTCGCCACTCCTATTGGGGATGCTAGCTTACATCCCACCAAGCCCTACGACTGGATAGAGCGGAGGGGCAAGCTTACCAACCTCAGGAGCGGTGACCACCTGTGACAGAGTGTGGCGACAGGGGCGTTTTGGGATTTGGATTTGGAGGGTTGGAGGAGACCACGTCATGTGGAGGGCGTTAACGATGTTGTGAGTTTGGGGGGGTTGGGGAGCAGATCTCTGGTCAGAGACCTTTGACATGGTCTCTGTCAAGATGGATGTGCCCAAGCATAATTACCAGCATGGCTATATTGGGGTAATGATAATCTGTCTGTGTTTTCTCGTACCCCAGGATGGTCTTCCATCGGCACTTTGGAAATTGGCCAACAGCCTTACAATCACCACAAGGGTCATGGCACCCTTTCCTGTGCATCCATCTTGGAACTGTTCTTGCTGAGTTTTGGACTGTTCTGGCTGACTTGGAACTGTTCTTGCTAGGTTGGGACTGTTCTTGCTGAAATGGAACTGTTCTTGGTCCCTTGGGACTGTTCTTGATCCCGTGGGGAACTGTTCTTGGTCCCTTGGGGCTGGCTTGGAACTGTTCTTGCTACTTGGGACTGTTCTTGGTCCCTTGGGACTGTTCTTGTTGACTTGGGACTGGCTTGGAACTGTTCTTGCTAACTTGGAACTCTTCTTGCTGACTTGGAACTGTTCTTGGTCCCTTGNTGGGACTGTTCTTGTTGACTTGGGACTGGCTTGGAACTGTTCTTGCTAACTTGGAACTCTTCTTGCTGACTTGGAACTGTTCTTGGTCCCTTGGGTCTGTTCTTGGTCCCTTGGGTCTGTTCTTGGTCCTGTGGGACTGGCTTGGAACTGTTCTTGGTGCCTTGGGACTGTTCTTGCTGAGTTGGGACTGAACTTGCTGGCTTGGAACTGTTCTTGCTGAGTTGGGACTGTTCTTGCTGACTTGGAACTGTTCTTGGTCCGTTGGGACTGTCGGTCTGGTGTTCTTTTTGCAGTCTGTTGTTGCGACGGGAATGCTGTTCGATGAGCAATGGAATGTACATGAGAGAAGGTATAATGCAACTTGCGCAGTGGTTCAGGGCCACGGGAACTATGGTGAGTATGCAGATTAAGAGTGGGCTTCACCGTGCTATGATGGGGTTTGATAGCACTGCTGTGCAGAAGGTTTGAAAAATGCCAAAAAAACCCACAATACAGTACCAGAAAAATGCCAAAACAACCCACAATACACCACCCAATACAGGGCCGGGCGAAGTCCCAGTCAAGGTTCTGGGCAGTCCCAGTGCAAAAGAGAGAAAAAAACCCTAAAAATATCTGGAAAAAAAAACTATATCGTGCAGAATTGCAAATCAAACGACTTTTGACTGAGGGTCACCCCGAAATTCGTTATGGAATCTGAAATGAAAAATAAAAACGTAATACTGAATTATATCGTACCCTTTGGCTGTGCCGGCAACCGGCTGGTTGGATGGGGCGGGATCCAACTGGGGCTGTTGGACACCCGGTGATCCAACCGGAGTTCCGGTTGGGCCCGAAAGTGGGTCAATTTTTTTTTTATTTTTTATTTTTTGAAAACATGGTTGGACTGCGCTCGCCGAGATCTCCCCGAATCCGCAAAGAAAACTTTCAACAGAGAAGTTTCGTTTGGGGGGGTTTGTGGGGGGGGGTGTATTTCAGGGGTTGGGGGTTGGGGGTTGGGGAGGTTATAGTGAGGGTGTTAGTCGTGGGGTTTCAGCAAGCACTGGCTTCAGCAGACATTAACAACAACGTACCTGGCTTTCTGCAAACGTTAACCGTCCGCCCAAAAACTTTGAAAAGGCCATGCGACCGGTTTGATTTTGGCCGGCCCGGCTTTCTGCAAACGTACCTGACTTTCTGCAAACGTACCTGGCTTTCTGCAAACGTACCTGGCTTTCTGCAAACGTACCTGGCTTTGGTCTGGTCCAAGTTGCCCTCGATACTGGTAGGGTGATGGTGCTGAGTGCTGGTCACACTGAGGTAGGATAGTAGGGATAAGGGGTGCGCTGGGAGTATTTAACGTGGGGAAGGGTAGGGAAGGTGGCCTACCCTGTCAGGACAACAACCGGCTGCCACTGCCACCGATCACTGTGGGTCTAGTCCCTCGCCTCTACAACACCCTGGGCTTAAAAAAAAAAAAAAAAAGAACAAAAAAAAAAAAAGAAGAAGAAGAAGAAGAAGATGCGCTACGGCCAAAAAGGAAGAAGAAGAAGAAGAAGATGCGCTACGGCCAAAAAGGAAGAAGAAGAAGAAGAAGATGCGCTACAGCCAAAAAAAAGAAGAAGAAGAAGAAGAAGATGCGCTACGGCCAAAAAAAAAAAGAAGAAGAAGAAGAAGATGCGCTACGGCCAAAAAAAAAAAGAAGAAGAAGAAGAAGATGCGCTACGGCCAACGGGGGGGGAACCGGCCGGTAGGACCAGTCCGGTTCTGGCTGGGCGAGGGACCCCCGGTCCTACTGGCTTACGGCCTAGATCGTACCCCTTTAAGCCCCTGTAAGCCCCTTCGAGCCCTTCTGAACCCCGCTTATACCCCATAGACACCTTTTGGTGAGATATCACTTAATTCAAAGACCAGGCCGGATTTGGGCACGTCTCAGTGGGTAGAAAATTGCCCTATGCCCCCCCCCCCCCCCSCCAAAAAAAAAAGACCCCCCTTTTGGTGTCACCTCCGTACCCCCGGCGGGCCACCTCCCATGCAGCAGGTTCACCCCGGCCGTCGGGCCGGGTGACCCTGGTAACTTAGCTTGGTAAGCATGTATATCTGGTTTAAAAGTGGCCGTGGCCAGATTCGCCCCAGAGCAGTCGACAAACATAGCACCAGTGGAACGTGGACCTAAGTCCTCTCATGCGGTTGGAGGAGAGCCGTTTAACTGTTAGAGGGGGGCTTACAGTTAGGATCTGAGGGTGAAAAATACCAAAACTGCATCTCATAAAACTTCTTAGGAGTTTTCAGACCCTGTGGTCGATTTCACACTCGCCTTCTGTCCTCCTTGCCGAGTTCCAATCTAACCACTGTTTTTTTTTTTGTTTTTTTTCCAGCCACTGTTTTGTTCCGTTACGACGTACAAACCTCCAGCGTTGGCGCCCACAACTCTGTAGCAGAGACACTTCCATGCAGGCATTTGGGCGGTGTCTCCATGTTTGAGTGATTAATCTGCTAAGTGAACGATGAAAACTGTACCTTCTTCACCCGAATACAATGTATGGTCATTATAGCTGTATTTGGGGTATCTTTCAGTCTAAATACAGCTATAATGACCGTACGTTGTATTCGGGGGAAGAAGGTAGTCCTGAAGTATTTTGGTCGTTAACGTGACGAGTCGAAGGTCGACGGAACGGGGGTGAGGGGGAGATTCTCGAGTATCGTTTTGAGGTCTCTTGGGTTAAATCCTCATAATAAAGCTAATGTCGAATTGGTTCGTGTTGTGTGGGCTTCGATCGTGCTCCATCAGTTTGTTACTCACCCAGGATTCCTAGCGACACCACGACCAATGGGTCGTCTCAGCTCGTCTGCCTCGCTATCTACTATGGTCCTGACTCCCAGGATTCCTAGCGACACCACGACCAATGGGTCGTCTGCCTCGCTATCTACTTTGCCCTCCTTTTTCCTTCAAAAAAACAAACAAACAAACAAACAAACAAACAAACAAACAAACAAAAAACAGGGCCTTATGGTCCTGGCTCCATATTCATTCTGGGGAGTGTCAGTCCGGTTCCTTTTCTTTGCCCTCCTTTCCTAAATTACGCTTACCATGGTTCTCATTGGAAACAATACCAATTGTAGCTCGACATTAAGAATTTAATATTTATAATAGAAGCTTAAAAAAAAAAAAAAAAAAAAAAAAAAAAAAAAAAAAAAAAAAAAAAAAAAAAAAAACGCTAACATGCCCGAGGGTAACCGTAACCTCGAGGTTGCCTCGTGTTTGTGAATCAATAATGTTGAGCATGTATCGAAGCGTAAAAAGAGAGAGAGAGAGAGAGAGAGAGTTTGTAGATGCTAATGCGCCTGAGGACTGTGAATCAATTGAGCAAAAGTCCCTGCAGCCCGAACGAGTTTTACAGACTACGGACTCACTCAACGGCCGCTTTTTGGAGGAGGACCATGAGCATCAGCGTGCTCGTAGAGGAGTGGAGCCCAATCGTGGATCACTCTCCTCCCTCAAGACTCCGTCTCATTTGGTATCTATTTGAGGACAAAAAAAACAGAACAAGAATGGAAAGCGCTTTGACTCTTACATTGTCTGATTGTCCATTCGTGAGTGTGCGCTTTGATTGTTCTTTTTTTTTTTTTTTACGAGATTGATGCCCTATGTAGGAGGAGGACTTGGCTCTTGAACACGTGTCCTGGCTGTAGTGGTTAAGAGACTTGGCTCTTGAGGCCGAAGTCGCCGGTTCGAATCTGTGCTTGCACGGAGGAGGACTTAGGCCCAGACGTACGGAATCCATACTACTGTGGAAGCGCCCGTGAGCCGATGGGCCTTGATAAGTCCCGTCTGTGTGAGCGGGTAAGAGTACCAGCGGGGGTTACGTGGTGACTACAGAGCGAAGTGTACGAGAATTGCCGTGTCCGTGGGTGTTGTGTGTGGTGTGTGTTGAGTTGGACACTACAGCCTTGCAGGGGTGGGGTGGATATCACGACCGGTACGATTCCACTTTTGAACACCGTGTCCTGGCTGTAGTGGTTAAGAGACTTGGCTCTTGAGGCCGAAGTCGCCGGTTTGAATCTGTGCTTGCACGGAGGAGGACTTAGGCCCAGACGTACGGAATCCATACTACTATGTAGGAGGCCATGAACCGCCGATTCATTTTATCGACGGTCCATGGCCTCCAAATTTTTAGGAGAGGATCAATCTACTTTTTCGGATGCGCTGGTGGTTTATGACATAGGGCCTCGCTCCACTACTCAACATTCTACATCCATTTGGATGGTTTCTGGACCAGGTGCATTTGGAAGAGACCAACATTTTGAATGCATCGGGATGCGGACAAGATCCAGATACATATGCGGTGTTGTGTAGTGGAGCGAGGCCCTTCTTGGATTATCCACCAAGAAAGTTGAAGAAACCTCTTTCTTTTATGGCCAAGCGTTGCAATGATTATTATGGTCGACAGGTCACCCGCCCCCTCAGTCACCACTACGCCAGTCTTTCTTGATCATTGTTTTACAGCTTCCAAAAGGGGATGTCGAATATATGGTCTCAATTTGTGCAATGCCCGGTCGATGATGTTGGCCAAGAATAGCAATGATTATTATGGTCGACAGTCCACCCGCCCCCTCTGTCGCCACTACGCCAGTCTTCCTGCCTGGATCAATGTTTTACAGCTTCCGACAGTTGATATCGACTATGGCCTCAATTTGTGCAATGCCCAGTCGATGGTGTCTAGCTGACCTGTAGCAGCTTGAAAGACTCAATGTTGAATATAGTCTCAGCGATCATTTCTGTTATTGGTATATCACCCGCACCCTCCACTGCCACTACCGCCGCCCTTCTGTGTCTTTGTTGTGTAGCTTGGAACGCGTCCATGTCCGATATGGTCTCAATTTGTTGTTGTGCCTGGTCTATAATATGGTCTCAATTTGTGCTGTGCCTGGTGTATAAGATGGTCTCAATTTGTGATGTGCCTAGTCCATAACATGGTCTCAATCTGTGCTGTGCCTTTTTTTTTTTTCTTTTTTTTTTCTTTTTTTTTTCTTTTGAAAACAGGAAAGGCTGCTAGGGGAGGTGATACCAGCATCCCCCCCTAGCAGGTTTCCTAGTTGCTCCAATCTATTGGTGGGGAGCCTCAATTTGTGCTGTGCCCGGTCTATAATATGGTCTCACTTTGTGCGATGCCTGGTCTATAATATGGTATCAATTTGTGCTGTGCCGGTCTACGTTGTATTGCAGCCAGGAAGTGTCCATGTTGAATATTGTCTCAGGTTATGGTGTGCCTGATCTGTTTCTACCTGTTTGCTAAACTTTGCATGTGTCCTCCAGTACGCCGGGAGTTCGTGGGAAGAGCTGCAGCACATAAGGCAGGCAGTAGAGTTTCTGGTGAGTCTCCTCTCTGTGTGAGATTACCTGTGCTGTGCATGCCTGATCTGGATGTGAAGTAGCCTGGCTATTGACCAACAACTCCTAAAAAGGAAATACAGTCCAAAAAGAATCAGCGCAGATGTGATTGCGAAGGATGGAGAAGAGGATGGGTATCTTACTGTGAAGGTGGCAGAATTGCAGCTGACTGCGAGACAGATCGTTAACAGAGCCCTAAATTTTTCAGGGTATTTTTCCAGGCTCATTATAAAAAATATACCATGCCTTTTAAGTCAGGCCAAGTGGGGGTACCTGCCAACCACTTGTGGACTGCGAGCATAGTGTTCGGAAATATTGGTAAGCAGGGGACATGGAGAGCGGTGATCCTTCGGGACATTGGTTAAGATTGGAACGATAGTAACGATACAGAGAACATTAGCATCGGAAGAGAGAGAGAGAGAGAGAGAGAGAGAGAGAGAGAGAGAGAGAGAGAGAGAGAGAGAGAGAGAGAGAGA